AAACAAAATTAGCCGGACATGATGTATTTAGCAAACATGCAACGTAAAATACAGTTCATGAGAATAATCAACATAGCATATAAATAACGAAAATTGAATTGCATAAAAAACCTGTAATTTATAATGTCGTGGTAATCTTGAATTCGTACAGTAATTTTTGCGGTACAATTAATTGAAATATAGAACTAAGTGTGTTAATCCTTCGATGTGAAGAATTAACACTTTTGGAAACTGGAAAATTACAGAGGCCTGAAAGGAAAATATATTGTTTTAAAAACAAGAAAACAAAGTAATGCAGAAAGAAAAAAAATGATTCTGAAACAAATTCTCCGACCCCCTCAAAGTGAAATCTTCAACAAATATATAGGCTCTCTCTTGTAACTGTCATGTTCCGTTCTTCCAGTACGTGTGCTAAATTCTCAACTGATGGAATGAGGTCGTGTGGACTTCGTGTGGGCTGCTTCGTGGTTTACTGCATATAATGAGTTTTTATGGTGTTACGTTCGTAATGCAAATCATCACGTCCGTAACAGCTTAGGCCTTTTGTTACGTTCGTAACGCGTTACGTTACGTTCGTAACAGTGTGCGCCTAGGTGTTACGGACGTAACTCTAGGCGTTGCGCTTGTAACGCTCTTCTGGTGTGAGCTTTTAGCAGAATGTCTGTTTTCTTCTTTCTTCTTGCCATTTCTTATCTTGTTTTGCTCCTTTTAGGTTATTTGCCATCTTATGTCTTGGAAAATATAATTTACCTGAAAACACGTACAAATACCTTCGTGATGCATATTATTCGATAAAAAACGTACAAACAACTCGTGTAAATTAGGCCTAAAAACGATACATTTTCGTGTTATCAATAGACTTTGAGGGTCACGGTGCCTTCCTCAATATCTATCATGCATCTTCCTGTGTCTATGAAAGGTATTCCCAAAATTAGCGGGATTTCCTCATCTTCTGGCATTTTCAGAACCACAAAGACAACAGGGAACACAAACTTGTCAATCTTCACAAGAACATCAATTACAATACCATAGGGTCTTTTCATTGAATGATTTGCAAACTGAAGTGTCATACGAGTGTCTTGCACCACACTGAGTTCAAGCTTTTTATAAATCGAAAGTGGCATCAGGCTTACACTAGCCCCTAAATCAATAAGTGTCTTCTTGAATAATATATCCCCGATGGTGCAAGGAATATTAACTGCACCTCTATCTTTCTTCTTCATTGGAATTTTGAGGCCATGCAATAGCATTACATGTTTCAGATAGCATTATTGGCTCAGTGTCGATGGAACGCTTCTTGGATATGATATTTTTCATGAATTTTCCATAGATAGACATCTGTTCCAGAGCTTCATCAAAAGGAATGTTAATCTCAAGTTTCTTGAACAATTCCAAGAATTTCTCAAAACATTTATCATTAAGATCTTTCTTCCTTGTTCTTGTAGGATAAGGAAGAATTATTTTTGGCATAGGATCTTTCTGCTTTTCCTTCTCAACCATTGGCTGTATAACCACTTCCTCAGTTTGTTATAGATCATCTCTGATTTCTAAATCTACTTCTAACAAACCTTCCTCTTCTATTTCCTGTTTTTCAACATTTCCAGCTAACTTACCGCTTCGGGTCATAACTATATTCACAATGCGATTATCTCTTAGATTTTTAACTGTTGCACCAGGCAGAGTGCTGGGTGCTTGAGTATTTGCTAGTTGTTGTGCTATCCGACTCATTTGTACCTCTAGATTTTTAATGGAAGTGGAAGTGTTCTTCTGATTGTTTCTTGTCTCTTCTTGAAACTAAATATTATGAGCTGTCATCTTTTCAATGGCCAACTCCCAATCTGCTTTCTTATAAACTTGTTGATGTTACTGATATTGGTTCTCATATTAGCCTTGAACCTATTGTTGAACATTCCCTTTCTGATCCCTCCAGGAAAAAATTGAATGATTCTTCCATCCCGTATTGTAGGTATTTGAATAGGGATTATTCTGCTTCAAGAACTCGATGTCTTCAATTTATTATGGAGTTACAAGATAATGCACAGTATTGTGTGGTCCACTACAAATTTCAAAAACAACACTTTGTGTTTGTTGAACCCGAGCTACTTGTTAAGTACCTAGGTTCAATGCCTTAAACTTTTTATCAACCTGTGCATCAAATGTTTCTTTAATTCTGAGTTGTTAGTTAGTTTCAAGCTTTAAATCTATTACTCCCTCTGGCTTGCTTACAACCCTGTCATATAATTCTAAATTCTCATTTACATCAATTGCTTCAATTATCTTCTTGATACCCGTGGCTGTTGAAAAATTTGATGAGCCATCGGGTGCTGTGTCAATCAACTGCTTTGTCTTGATTCTAAGACGATTCACAAATATTTTCATCTGCTCATTCTGATCTAACTTTTGAGTAGGAAAAGTCACTAGAAGTCTTTTAAATCTTTTGTAGGCATCCCCTAGTGACTCACCCTCTTTCTACTTGAAATTGAGTATTTCATATCTTTTTCCCATGAATATTGACGCTGGAGAGTACTCATTCAGGAATGTTGTTTCCATCTCTTCCCAAGAAGTAATGCTACCAGCCGGAAGGGGATAAAACCACTATTCAGTCTCATCAGTTGAAGTGAACGGAAACATTTGCAACTTCTTCGCTTCATCAGTATGTCCATCTATCTTTAAGGTGGTGCTCATAGTCAGAAATCTTTGTAAATGCTTGTTAGCATCTTCATTCACTCTTCTCGAGAAGGATCTCCTCTCAAGTTGAGTGATCGTGTTGAGATGCAGCTGAAAGTTTGGTACATTCACCGGTTGGTTCATAATTGTCAATCTACCAGCCGATGTATTTGTTCCTCCATAGTCACCAAGGAGTCTCTCAAGTGCTAGTGGAATTTCACCCATAGTTTCAAGTTCTGACTCGGAATCTGTATGAACTGAAATATGTTCGTCTTCGGAGGCCAGACTGGCTAATCGAGCTTGTCTACATCTAGCGTGAAAAGTTCTTCCTATCTCTGCATCAAAAGGAAATTCAGCTGAGGCCTTACCTCGCATAAACAGGTTAGACAAAAATTAGTAAAAATATAATACTAATAGAAAAATAACATTTAATTGCAGAGCAACAAAATTTCAATTGAACTACAATTAAACTCTATATTTTGGCAGTCTCCGGCAACAGCGCCAAAAACTTGATCGGAAAAATAACAAGTGTACTATTTTTGCCTATGCGGTAATAATGGAGAAATTCTCCGAATGTCGATCTCAAGGATTGCGTAGAAATATCAAGTTGAATTGTTATTCAATTAAACAAAAACTTAACGTTTGGTTTGATTTGGAATTTATCCTTAACAATTATTAAAATAAGCAGAATGTAAATTATGACTTTTTCATAAGTATGAGCTACATGTTAGGGTAAAGTGTGTGATTTGTCCTGTAATAACCTTGACTCTTGATTTCTTCAACAAGTTCATAACTGTCAATTACCATATCTTAAGTATGTTTTTCCCTAAGTCCTTAGTGGGAAAACCTTTGGTCATTTATCCTAATACCTAGGTCCTTAGAAAATTATGATGAAACCAAGCATTTATTTTATCAAGATTTTATCGGTAACTATAGGGTATCCCTAGTCCTAGGTGGTATCTACTATAGTTTAATCGTATAAAAACCTTAACAATGACGGTCAATCTCTAACTGTTAACCGTGAATCAATCCCTATTTGTCTTATAGGAAAAGCATAAGAACATTGAACGATTAAATTAAAAAGAAACTCAAATGTAAAACAGGAACAACCCCTAATATTGGTGGATTTACCTACTCATAATATTGTTCAAAAGAATTTCAGATTCAATAAAAATAGACATTACAATTTGTGGTGAACTTTGATTTTCAATGGCTTCCGCTAATGAAAAGTCTTTTGTCCTCAAACAATTGCATAAGCTTCAATCTCAAATCCTCTGAATTCCCTTGTGTGCAAAAAGAAGGTCCTCTCTATTGTGAAAACTCCTATATATAGTGAAAATCCCTTTACTACAGTTGAAAAATATCAAAACACCCTTTCAGATCAATCTTCGGGCAAAAATCATAAAAACACAAAAATCAGCGTCACTGGCCAACACGGGTCGTGGTAGGCAACACGGGTGCCCGTGTTGGCCCTTTGAAGTTCTCATATTCTTTTAAAGTCCCAGGGGCAGCAACACGGTCTGGTCAGGCGACACCGCCACCGTGTTGCACCTCTGATTTCTCTTCAACTTCATTCGCTTCAGGTGTTGCAACACGAGTCGTGTCTTGTGACACAGGCGTCCGTGTTGTTCAATTGACTCTCCATATTGCTTTTTCTCAAGACTCTGAATTTTCGCCACTTTCTCACACCGCGTCCTGCGGATCTTCAACTTAGACTTGAGGACAATAAAAAACAACATACCAAAGCATAAAATGGGAAAATAACTTGAAACAATTAAAAACCTATAAAATACGGAGAAAACTTAAGAAACATAAAACCAACTCAAATGATAATACAATACGAAACAAAGTGGTGTAGAATCCCTAGATTGTCGTGAGAACAAGGGACAAAAACATAGAGAAAATAGTGTTACGATACTAATGATCCATATGTAGATGATTATTACAATCATGGTTGTCTTGCAAAAAAAATCTTGAGGTGCTAAATTGAGGTGTCACTTTTCCCCAGCTCAAATAAGGGAAATCCCTTTACGAGCGAGCCACATGCTTTTCTTCAGGTCGATGCTCTAGGGAGGGTTCCATTCTCATCAGTTCGCAGGCCCCGTCCTCTACTGGAAGTTGATCCACCAAGTTCTTCTCATGTTTATTCTTTGAAAGCTAAGTATTGTGACGCTAAACATGTTCCTGCGGTTACTTTCGGTGGTGTTGAATTGGCTACTCCTACTCCTGGTGCTTTACAAGGGTCATTTACGCCTGAGCCGTATAAATAATTGAGGTGGGAAAGGGATATTGAAGAGAGGAATCGTCCGTTGACTGATGAAGACCTTGCTGCTATGTCTCTACAAGAAGGGTATAAGGTTTTGGATCCTCCATCATTTTATGTGCCCATTAGATCACCTGCAAGGAAACTTCTTGCTACTCCTACTCCGATGGGGACTTCACTATATCAAATTCCTGACGAGAATTCATTCATGTCGTTATGCTGGCTTCTCCTCCGCTCTCTCTGTTCATCCGCTGTGCCTCCCATTTCCACCAAGCTCAGTTTCAACTCTGATTGTTTTGTAGGTTCTTCTCTCATTCGGTTTTACTCACAATATGGAAAAACAGACTATGCACATAAGGTGTTTGATAAAATTTCACTTTACAACTTCGTTTGAATCACGACTGTTACGGAAAATTCTGTCGCACGAGTCACTGATGGCCCCAATATTCATGAGTGGAGTTATCCTGAAGCTGGCCAAGTATTGAAAAATAATTCAGTGTCGGATTGGCCATTGCTTGCAACTTACCTTATAAGTGAAGCTAGCCTCATGAAATCTTCTAAATGGTTCAGTTATATATCCACCTTACCTCGACAACCTTACTCTGTCACGGACTGAACTAGATCGCTACTTGGAAGCTTCACAGATTAGGGAAAGAGCTATTGAAAGGACTAATAATGTCGTGGGAACATACAATGATATGAGGCTCCGAGTATTTTCCAAATACCCTGAATTCTTCCCTGAAGAGGTGTTCAACATCGAGTCCTTCAAATGGTCATTCGCCATTCTTTTCTCCCGCATGGTTCGGTTACCCTCAATGAATGGAAAGGTGGCCTTGGTTCCTTGGTCGGATATGTTGAATCATAATTGTGAGGTGGAGACGTTTTTGGATTATGATAGATCTTCGAAGGGAATTGTCTTTACGACAGGTCGTCCCTATCTACCAGGTGAACAAGTGTTTATTTCATATGGGAATAAATCAAATGGGGAGCTTCTGTTATCTTATGGATTTGTTCCAAAGGAGGGCACAAATCCAAGCGACTCGGTTGAGCTACCGTTGTCACTCAAGAAATCTGATGAGTCCTATAAGGAGAAGTTAGAACTGTTGAGGAAGTATGGATTATCAGGATCTCAGTGCTTTCCATTAAGGGTCACTGGTTGGCCATTGGAGTTAGTGGCTTATGCTTATTTAGTTGTTAGTCTTTCAAGCATGAGAGGGAAAATTGAAGAGATGGCTGCAACTGCATCAAATGAAACTACCTCTATAACAAGGACTTGAGATATCCTGAAATAGAGGAGCAGGCATTGCAGTTCATACTTGATAGTTGTGAATCTAGTATTTCAAAATACAATAAGCTCTTACAGGCAAGTGGATCGCTGGATTTGGACGTGACTTCTCCGAAACAACTTATCTTTAATGTAACACTACTTTCCCTATCTTTAATGCCACCTCCTATGTATCTATTTAGCCTAAAATTTTCTTCTCATGTACGACAGTATATTGTATAAACTCCAAAAACAAGTTAGCTGCATTTCTTTCAGATGGTAGTTTATGTGTTGTAGAGCTTCCATCAATTGAAACCTGGGAAGAACTAGAGGGGAAAGAATTCAGTGTTGAAGCTCTCATACTGAAATGTTGTTTGGATCCATATTACATCTTGTATGGTTGGATTCACATAAGCTGTTATGTGTTTCACATTATGGTTTTAGTCACAACAATGACTTATTCCAAACATCACTCAATAAGGATGCACTTCCAGGCTTCTTTTTGCAGGAAATAGAACTTGAATGTTCTGAGAATATTGTTCCAGGATTGCTGACATGTTCGGACTGAATCTTGAGGACAAGGTTCAATGTGAACCCGACAGCAATGATAGAGTATGAAATTAGTTTCCAGATAATTTAAAATAATTAAGTTAAAAGAAAAATATATATTAAGTGGGCTTTTATTATTTAGTTGAACTTTTTAACTTAGAGTCTTTTACTCTATTATCCATTAGAAACTCTATATATGTATTCTCATTGAGAGATTTTAGATTATCAAATGAATGAAAAAATTCTTTATTTTATTAGTTTAGTTTTATTTATCTTCTTAATCCTTAACTTTCTCTAATTTTGTTAGGATTCCAAATTAACATCCGAACACCATATTACAAACAAACATAAAACAAAACAATATACTAAAAGTGACTACAAAACACATTTGTTACTTGAAACAAAAAAATGTATAACCTTAAAAACCCAACTCATTGCTTTTTTTTTTTCTTTTTGTTATCAATGCAATATAGGAACTACGATTTGGGGATGCCGTTCTTGCTGTCACACACTCAAGCGTTTGATCAAAATCAAACAGTTAGGATTTAAAATCAAATTTGTTTTCATATGCCGTTTGACTAAGATCAAATGAATACTAATACATTGGCCGCTGAAGGCGTCGAAAGATTGACTAGATGGATCATTTTCAGCAATATAGAGTTAAAAATCAAAGTGTGTTCCTTTAAATTTGTTGACCAACCAATACCGATGATCAAAGTGTTAGAAGGAGTAGCATATCTTCACTCTGAAGATATATATACGAAAATGTAAATTAATTAACCTATGTTTGCACCAATTATAATAGAGTTCGATTACTACATGGTATTATCTAACAAAACAAATAGGTTTGTTTTTAATTTTCCATGTTTAATTATCTTCCTCTTGACCCCAAACAAGCAATGTTATCTGTAACAGTTTAATTGATTTTGTTAACAACAAAATAGAGCAATCGAGTGAAATCAATAAAAAAAGATACATAAGGATACAATACAATTAAGGATATATATCTTTCGAACCGGTGAGACAATCCTTAACTATATATATATTCCTATCTCACCAATGATCTAAAGACAGTATTGATGAATTGAATAATGAAAGATTTACTAATAAGTAACACGAACTCCTTGGTACCTAAGAATTTCACCAATAAGCTCCCCTTTCCCAGAACCAACATACCTTCCACAAATGTTCCCATCTCTTATGAACAAAAACGTAGGAACCTGAATCACTTTCATGTCACCCAAAAACTGCATACAGCTTTCATTCTCATCACCATTCATCCTCGCAAAAACAACCGTATCAATCATTTGTCTCGACAGTTTTATCACTGTCGGATAAACCTTAACACAAGGACCACAATGTTTCAATCCAACATCAAGCACAATAAGCTTATGATCAGCCTTATGATCTTCAATAAGTTTCTCAACATCTTCTCTGTTGTGAAGTTGCACCACAGCTGAGTGGCTGTCACCGTAGTATAGCACATCTCCGACAAGCATATCGGGTCCAATAGCATCTTCTTCGTGGATTTTTACTTTGCTTTTGTAGAAAGTGAAGTGAGGTACTTTGTCTACTTTTTCTCTTTTGCAGAGTTCTTTTGTTTGCTCTGATTCGTCTCCCATGACGAGGATGAACTCAACGTCGTTGCAGGTTCGACTGAGGTCGACTAAGAAAGGGTATATCTCGGTGCTTTCTGGATTCTCCTTGGTGGCGTATTCCACTACTACCAGTTTGTCTTTTGCTGATTCAAGTGCTTGGTCGAACTCTTGTATGCTGTGGACTTTTTGAACTCGTTCATCTTTTTTCTTTGCACCTGGAGCTGCTGTGGCTTTTGTGATAACAACACGAGTCTTTGTGTGAGAGAGTAGCGATGGAGCATGAAAAGTTGGTAGAGAAGAACCAAGGGAATGAAGGGGAAGGAACTTAGGGAGGGTTCTGAATGAAGGAGGGATTGAGGGTTTGCATATGAAATTGCTGCACTGGGTGATTGAAGCCATGGATGAGAGAGCTAAGGATTGGGAATGAAGAGACAAGTGAGTAGGAAGAAGAATGGGAATGATAAAAAAGCATATCCATCAAAAGTCATGTGGTACATGTTCATTACACGTGTCTTTTGATTTTTCAAATTTCACTTCATTATGTAACTCTGCTAATAATATATGTAAAGCAATCTGCATCACAAGTCCTTCAAAAAAAATCACTAGTCCCGTTCTCATAATTCATAATAATGCATCTTGCTACTCCTTCCGTTTTAAAATGATTCTCATTTAAAGTTTTTATACGCAAATTAAAGAATATAATGATATTGTCATAAAATATTACACTTTTGAAAAATTAACTCTATTAATGTATTTGAAGTAGTGTAGAGAGTAAAAACTAAATGATACAATTGATAAAATAGCAATCATTACTGGATTGAAAAGTGAATAACAATCATTCTGAAACAAAATTTATTTATTAAAATGACAGTCATTTTAAAACTGATGGAGTATTCTTTACTCCCTTCTGTCACTCACTGTTATAACTAAAAGTTGACTTTAAATCTTAATCACCTTTATAATTAAAAGTTATTGACTATTATACTAATTAATATTTGTATTACTATTATATCTTTAAGTTAAAAGAAATACTAACGGGTGTCTTGGAGCATTCTTTAAATGTTTAAAGTACTCCCTCCGGTCTCATATGTAAGCAAAAAAAAAAAAAATTGGAGTCTCAAATATAAGCAAAAATTAATTACAATGGTTACAATTAAATATACCATTCCAATTTTACCCTCAAATTTAGTTTTTCAATATTCATGTTTATTCCTATAATAACTCCACTTTTTACACTTCCAAAAGAGCATTTATTCTGAAACGTTGCATTTGTTATCATTGGCTTTTGAAAAGTCATATCCTATTATAAATGGTGCATTATCATCTTGTACAAAACTCCATGAGTCTTGTTCTTCCTTTTTTTTTTATACTTTAAAAATGGCAAACCCACATCATTTAGCTAATGAGTTTCCATCTTTTGATTTAGGTATCGAAGACAATAAAGTTCCTGAAGCAATTCAAACTCCAACAAATGAAAGTGCAGAAAATATCACTCCAAAAAATGAAAGTGAAAATGCTCTAACTCCAACAAATGAAAACACCATTGTTGAATACTTAGATATGGATGAGTTTGATCTTAAACTAGGTGTGTTCTTATTTGGATTTTTATGATGTTTAATGTTTCTTTGTTGTTTCTATTGCACTGTTAAAGAATTGTACTGCTATGTTTCTTTATGATTGTGATGTTTAATGTTTATTTTTCTAATCATCTTCTATTGGTTTTTTGGAGTAATGTCATTGTCTATTTTATTTTTCATTTGTTAAAAAATTCTAACGTGCAGTACCAGTGCCATCAGTAAGGAACTAACATGCATTCTTCATGAAACTAACTAGTAAGTCTAATGTAAACTAACTAGCATTCTTCATATTTTCTTCTTATTGTAATGTACAGTACCAATAATATGAAATAGGTAGTACAACACATAAACTAACAAGTCTAATGTAACTAACTAGCATTCTTCATATTTCCTTCTCCATGTAAATTCCATGATCTAGAACCAACCTCCTGAAAAATGAATAAATCAAATTTGACAAAAATTAGCGTACACTATTTTATTTAAAAATTTATAGAAAATACGATTATATAAACCAACAAGTTCGTACCTTAATTATCATTGTTTAAATATTGAAAAGTATTTTCAACTAACTCTCGGTCACATTTTAGTTGCGTAGGTAGTATGCCTCGATTAAGCAACACTTCTTTCTTCATATGGGGAATCCGGTAATTATTAGATCCTTTAATTTTCATGATTTCAATCATACAAGATTGAAGTGTGAGAAAAATTTTGTCAGATTGTTTGCTAGAAAAATTATCATATGAGTTTTGCACAACTTCAATGAGTTCATCAACTGATTTTGAAACTTCCTTTTGTTGTAATGATTGAATGGCATTGAAAAAACCCAGATCTAAAACATTTAAATCAGGAGAATTCGGTGGTTGACAAGATAAACGGATGTCAAATCCTCCTTCAGAAGCTGCTTTACGAAATTCTTCATCGTCAATAGAAACATGACACGGAGCATTATCTTGTTGTATATAAATTGTTTCCATTGCATGTTCTCTCGGCCATTTTTCTTTAATTGCAGGTAACACTTTATTGATTAGAAAATTTCGACTAACTTCTTTAGTGATAGAAGTAATCAGTTTAGTTTCAAGTGTACCCGAAGCTCTATTGATACTTGACCTTTTTGCTGCAACTTTTTGAACAAGAGGAAAGACGCCAATTTTTCCCGAAAATATCTCCTTATCACCGTCATCAAATCTAGGCCTAGCGACTGCTACTAAAAACATGACTTTTCCAATAAAAATTTTATTTTTGCATGTGCGATATGGCTCATCCTCATTTTCAAGAAGGTAGTAGTTAGCTGATTTTTTGGTCATGTAGAACCATTTTTCATCTATGTGGACGATATTATGCATAGACTTAAACTCCGGATCATGAGGAAGACTAGTTTCTTCAAGCATGGACAAGCAAAATCTAAGACGATCTTTCATATTGCTATCTTTCATTTGTGGCTTTAGAGCATTTGAATGCCGACGCAAAGTCCCATCCTTTACAAACTTAAACAATGCTGTTTTGCTAATGCCCAAGGCAA